GAGGGATGAAAAGTGGTCCCTATATCCTCCAGCAAACTTAGCCTATAGTAGCTATAATGTTTGGACACAGACATCTTATTTCTGGAGTGCCCCAGTCCTCCAGGAGCTAAACACCCCACAACATAATGCTGCCATTCCCGTACTTCAATGCTTGAAAGGGTCTCTTTTCAGCATTCTTCTTTATTTATTCTTTACACCAAATGTAACAAAGGTAATTGTAGCCAACCCCTTTAATTTTAGTTTATTAGATCACAGATTCACCGAAGTTTAGATTGTCAACAGCAAACTACAATTTTACTTTTATAATGCTTTGGGAGAAAATAATCTTTTCATCTATATCCGTGCAGTAGTTTGCTGTGGATTAGGAAGAATCTTCACAAGGTCTTTTACTTTTTCTGTGGGCTTGTTTTGTACATTTCTCACCAAAGCAGGTTCATCTCTGGGATGTGGAATCTGCCTCCCTTCCTGAATAGTCTAATCACTGAACATTCTCAGGGTGTTTATACTTGTTTGTTATTATTTGAACAGATCAACATAGTATCTTCAGGCATCTGGAATTTGTACCAAAAGATGAACCAGACTTTAGGAGGTCACCAACTTTCCTTTTGAATCTTTTTGGCTGAAAATGAAGGCTGTGTGTTTGATGAAAGACACGACAACTAGCATAGTAGTTATATTAGTATCCTTTGGATTTTAAAGATGTTAAATCTCTCGTTATTCTTGGATTAAGCAAAAATGACTATTGTCTTAATAAAGAAGTATTAGTGGATTGTCTGAATAGTTTTACAGTACAGCTCCTAGGATTCCTACACATCTTATGAAAACATCAATAGTTAAATTCAATGCTTTTTAAATCTCGTCTCATCTCTTATCTCATCAAATCCCCGGGGAAACCAAATCCTGCAGCACTCAGCATGCACAGCTATACTGTATGCATTAATATACACAGGGATGATTTCTGAGATGCAGCTTTTACTAACTGAGTTTATAAATAAGACACAACATGACATCAGATGCAGTTTTCCACGCTGTAAACACATTAGATCTGTTTGTCGCATCTGGGGGGGGAGGTTAACGCTCCACCGACCTTAACTTTGCAACGCCAGGAAAAGAGGCTGAACACAGCTGCATGCATGTTCTCACTCACATACTGAAAGGTAGAGGGGCTTTGAGACTTTTTAAGTAATGCAACTGAAAGAAACAGAAATTTAAATGGAGGGGCAATGTTTGTTTTAATGCCACCATGAAATATTCACGTCTATTATTTAGAGTTACATATTTGCACAAATATATTTAAAGAAACTCATTTTCCTTATAGTGATTACATTTTTTCAGTTTAAAAAGCTTCTTCCATGTTGGACAGCTGATAAAGGAAACGTCCGGTCAGCAAGGAATAACCAGTAGATCATTATTTATACATAAAACTAATACGTTTGCGTTGATTTAATGAATTTAGCATTAATCAGTAAAATAATAAAAAACTATATTTTTGGTCATGATCACTGAGTCTGCTAGCGGCCATTTTTGTCAAAATATAGTAACACCTCCCTCCTGGCATCTTCCAGCAGTGACGTCACGGTGAATTCTGAATGTGAGCAAACTTTTCCTTTAACAGCCGGCTGGACATAGAAAAAACAGCTGGATAGCTTTCTTAGTTCAAAGGTAATAATTCACAAATCAAGTCCAAAAAGGTTCAAACTTGATTAAAGTCATAGCCAAGGTTCAAAGGGGTTTAAAGTTTTACTTGGTAATGTATAAAAATGTATTTATAACAGACCCCCCCCCCCCCCCCCCCCCCCCATTTTTTAATAATAGAAAATTTGGAATTTCCACTTTCCAACTTCTAAACTGTAATATTGAAAAATGTGAAAACATTTTAGGAAATATGAATATTGTAGCTATAAAGGTGGTCATACATGTGTTGCATCCAAACTGTTTAAACAATTTTTTTTTTTTTACTTGGCTTCAGATGGAACAACTTTTAGTTCTGTTTTTCTGTTTTGAATAAAGAGAAGAAATTTATGCTTTTTTAATTTCTTACTCCTGACAACTTTATTTCTCCTTGATTAAAAACCCATCCTCACTCAGTCCAACTACATCTTAGCAGGTATCTGTGGTATTATGTTTTCATTTGAATATGAAATACACTTTAGAGACATTACAGGGTTAAGATAAAATAGTAAGATATCTTAATTCTTCATTATATTTCCTGAGATAAAGATTTGTCTTCTACATCTGGCAGTGATCCATATATAAAAACACAGTTTGAAAACAAGTTAAAAGAACAGCATTATTGAAAAAAAATAAAAATCTACAACAGAATTGTTGCAAACAGGTCATTTAATGTGCAACATGTATGAAGGGTTCTAACAGTAATTGGTTTTCTTAACCAGTCTTACAGTGTTGTCTCTGTAAAGTGCCTTGAAATGTCATGTGTTGTGAATTGGTGCTATATAAATAGACTCCATTGAATTGAACTGAATTGAATTGGATTAACTGAAAAGCTTTTATCATTTTTCTGTAATCTCTGACTAATCATCAGTGCTTCCATAATGTCCTGCTAATAAAGCAGGGAACAGTTTGTTTGCTCCCAGTTTGTTTGGCCAAAGAATTTATCTCTCTGAACTGATGTCATCCTGTGTAATAGTTGAACATTTGGGTTTTGCAAATGCTCTCCTTCCTCTCTGTCCAAACTGGCAGGAGTTAAGCAGACATTTGGATAGTTGCTCAGAGGAATGCACAGTCCCTAGCACATGCAGGTTGTGTCTTCCCAATTAAACATGGTTCAGTAGACCCATCTGTACTGAATGCTTCAGACTGCATGAAAAGCACATGTCTGGGACTGTTGTTGCTGAATAAAGGAACTTTAGGTATTGTCCTTGTTCCCACAGATCCCGAAGTCCCCGGGCATAAAAGGCACTCTGAATGTTTTCAAACAGTAAACACATACTTCCCAGTTGATAAAATGTGTTTCAAATCTGTCCAATGCATTTTCACCTGAACTTCTTTTTGGTGGTAGATTCAGCTGTTTGATTGCTTATCATTATTTCTTTTATTTCCTATTGTTTAGATTGGAAGATTGTAATTAATTCTGAACTTTAAGTAATGGGCAGTTTGTAATTGCAATATTGTCAGGAAGTGCAAACATTTTTGGCATTTTTAGCCTTCATGAGTTTGAGGATTATATTGTGACAACCAAATGTATACATTTATAAGACGAGGATATGCAGATTAAATACTTACTGACTCCAAAGCAATTAATGAAGCCTGAAGCGGATTGTTACAATGACACCTAAAACCTAATTGAACTGTTATAAATAACAGAAAATGTATAATTTGGGCAAATCATGTCTGTGTAGTGTGGCACAAATTTTTCCATCAGGAAGTAATTCTATATGAAATTAAACCAAAACGAAAAAAAACTTCACCCAACTTAGGTCATAGCTACACCTACATGTACTTCTTATCAACAATTCATTTTTCAAATATAATACACCCACAGAATGTCTAGTGTGGTACACTGAGAGGGGAGTGTTGTCCTAGTGATTAGAGCAGTGCGCTTGTGCTCTGAGAAGTTTGCAAGTACCCAATTCGATCCCCACAGCCTGCACTTTGGGTCTTTGAGCAAGACCCTTAACGCCACACTGCTCCGTGGGTGCTGCACAATGGCAGCCCACTGATGCCCCAAGGGGATGGGTTAAATGCAGAGGTAAATTTCTCCAGTGTGAGATTAATAAAGTTGAAATATTATTATTACACATAACAATGTTTATTCTACGGGATAAGAAAAATCACATGTAGTAATTAAAACATTTCTTTGATCAATTTTGATGGGTCAAAAATCTATTTAAAAATATACTTCTGGTTACCATGCAAACATCAACAGGAAAGGTTTCTGCACTAAAAAGTATAGTAGGGGCAAATCATTTGAGATGGAGTATATTCATTTTATTCTTTTAGAGTTTTTATTTTGTTTTCATATTTCCTCCTACAATAAATGTATTTCACACCAATTATTTGATACCTTGATGATTTTGATCATTTGCTTACTAATTAAGGTGGGGGGGTTTAAAGTGTGATTTAGCTTTTTGCCCCTAAAAAAGAATCCGGTTCACCAATTAAAAACATGTCTGATTTAGATCTTAACTCCTTATCTATATGGAGTTGTTCTTAATTGCGACTTTAACCATTTATCATCATGGGAGACACCTAGAAGCTGTCATAGGAAGCTAAAAAGCAGCTAAAGTGTGTCAAGAAGATTAAAACTATTGATTAGGATTAAAAGCTCTTAATCTTGATTTCTTTGCAAGATCTAATGGTGAAGCTGATCAAGTCAGAAATTGAGACACAGTCCACATCTGCAGAGGAGGAGCTTGTTAATGAACCAAAGGCACTTGGTCAATAGTCAACAGTAGTGGAGGAAACATGTTTAGGAGCATTTTATATTTGCTAGATAAGTCAGGATGGGGCAATCTAGCATCTTGGAATGTTTTTATTGTCCTAAAAAAATACCACATGCGCTGTGAAGAATGATTATGAAAAACAACATTAAAGGCATGTATGGGTCTGGAGGCTCATAACCTAGAGGAGTAGAAGATATAAGGAGAGGTTAAAATGTAACAAAACAACCAGCGAACTTACTCTCAACTGCATGTCAGGTTATTTTTATCTCTGAAAAAGCATACGGTGTCGACCTGTTACCGAAAACATTATTTGTCACCATATCACACAAATTTATGTAATTTTAAAATTTGTTTTTACACATTTTTGGAAACATTGCAATTTAAGATAATTTTAAATGCCACAATACCCATTGTCAAACTTTGGTTGAATCAAGATTTATATAGCATTGGTTATGGTTGAAAACCATAACCAATTGAAAAACAATTTTTAATCATGTTTGAAAAACAATGATTAAACATGTAAGTCTCTGAGCAATTGATGTATATATATTTTTTTTGGATTTCCCTTAATTCTACTTTGGTTTTTCTCTGATCCAGACAGGGTAACCGAGGTGAAGACCAACATCTTCGTCACCAGCTTTGGTCCGGTCTCAGACACCGACATGGTGAGAGCAGATGCTTATTGTGATCGTCAGGTTATTGCTGGAGCAAAGGCTGAGTGGACCTCAGAGGGCTGCTGTATGCTTTATTTCAGCTGTTGTGCCTTTTATCCATTTGCTGTTACATCATTCTGTTTTTCTCATCCAAACACACACATGCGTGCCAACAAAGATGCTGTGATACAGAAGCCATTCTCCACACTACTGCATGATGTCTATTCATGTCTAAATTTTCATCTCATACATTATTAAACATCTCCTTGGTATTCAAGTCACTGCTTTTTTTATCCTGTGCCCTCCTGTTTATTATTCAAAAACATGTGGCCACCTTTGCATCATGCCTACAGCCCCACTTCTATCGATCTGCTCCCATTATCCAGGTAATTGATCAGCTGAGTTCGCCCTTAGGTGTGTTGGCAGCTGCATCTGAATCTTTCTTCCACCATTGTTCTCCCACACTAAAACTAATACTGAAATACATTTTAATCTGCAGTAGAAAATATTTATTGCTGTGTGGCAAAGATCCCGGTACCAAAATCACCACCCACGTGCGATGTACTGTGACTAATTGTCTAAGTGGAGTGCTCAGTCTGCCTAATTGCACCCCTGATGTCTATTTTTCAAAATATATTGCACATGAACAGATGGACAAACGGGCAAACATCTGACAGGAAAACATACAATCTTTTCACTGGAGGTAGATTTTACTGTGCAGTGCAAGGGAAGCAATAATGTGTCAGAAAGCCATTTCTAGGTGTGGTAAATATTAATGAAACCACTGAGGTCCTAATAAGAAATAAGCTGATCCTGACAGCAACATTTTTCATGCTTGTTGGCACCCCAGTAAAGAGGTGTAAAAGAAACAGCCTGAATTTATTGCAAATATCATTTCGGGTTCATCTAGTCAGTAATTATTCATGGGAATCCCATATTTTTTAACTTAATTTGAATATTTAGAAGCTCTGATTAGTCATCCACAGCCTTGTGTTTCTGTAGGGTATAAAAGGGATATGAGAGGTCCATTTCTCCTCACCTGCTAGGTTACAGTAGCTGGTAATGATATAGTCCCACTAGCCTGCAGTAGAGAGTTCTGAGAAAACTTTGGACTTAACCAGAAAATGTAAACATGGACTCTTTACAGGCCCCTCCCCCTTCCTCCCTGCTGTGCTACAGCCATAATTCAAGAGGGTCATTCCATGAAAACTGTTAAGTTTGGGTCCATAACATTCAAAGAGGAATAGGAAGCATAATAAAACTGTCAGTAATACTTTAAGCCATTGATTCAAGTTTATTTGGTAGAATGAGGTCAAATAAAATTGAAAGATAAATATATATTTTGCACATTTATAACTTTTTATGTTAAACTGCAATCATTTTCTCATGTCCGCTCTGACCATTTTTCTCATTCGTGTAATGTAAAACTTAAGAAATATGAAATAAATCTCAAAAAAATTTTGTTGTTATGTTGTTTTGTTGTTGTTAATTATATTAAAATGTCATATTTTTTTATTGAAATAGCATGATTTTTCTATGTCCATCAATTTCATATTCCACCCCATCACACCAATGTTATTTTGCGCCAAAATGCAATACACTTCCTAGAAGTGACATTACTAACATGAAGTGACATCATTCAAGAGTTTGAAGAAGAGAATTCCACACAATGGTGAGTTCAGTTTTTTCTTTAAGAACATTTTTGGTAGTGTTGCACCGATACCGATAACAGTATCGGACGGGGCCCCGATACTGCCCTAAAATGGTGGTATTGGTATCGGCCAGTACCAACAAATAGGGCACCGATACCATTTTGAGAGCCATAAGTTTATTCAACTATTGTCACCCATTCCAGGTAGGCAATAAAAAGTTCTACTGGATTCACTTTGTATTAGAGTTTTTCCTGCTTCACAAAGGTAGGCAGAAGCTTGACAAAGCCATGATGGCAATTATTTTACATTATTATGGTATCGGTATCGGCCGATACTGCACAGCCAGGTATCGGGTATCGGTATTGGGGCCAAAAAATGGCATTGGCGCAACACTAATTTTTGGTACATTTTTACTTCAAAATCCTTTATGTTAACCATAGCATATTCACTCCGTCGCACAGAAAACGTGGGGAAAACAATTTGTTAATCAAATTTTGAAATTATATTTGTATTAATCATTCCTTTTTTATTTTACTTCAATGCTAACGGCACCATCAGGTTTTAACATATCCAGAAATTGAGCCAAATTGCTTTAGATTTTCCACCCCGTCACACTAAAGCCTGTGACGGGGTGGAATCATTGTGATAGGTGGCAACGTTCTTCATATTGAAATAATGCTGTACATCACATAAAAACATTTTAAAAACTGTTTGAGCACACTATTGGTATTTTTGAAAAAAAAAGACACTTTCTGAAGTGAATAACATTTTGTTTGTCTTACTTTTATCTAAAATTACCCTTTAATTTGTTAACCTTTGTCCTGTGTCGGGGTGGAAAAGGAAACTTTGTTCCCTGGATATAATGTGCTAAAATATTTGCAGAAAATGGTGTCTGAGCTTGAAAAATATGTTTTATTGCAAGTGTCACATGTTCTATAGGCTATGAAACTAAGAAAAAGAAAAAAAGGTTATGATCAAAAACCTCTAAATTCAGAGGTCCAATTTTTCCACTTTCCATGGAATGACCCAACAGCTCTTCCTCCACAGCTGAACCTGCTGTGAAGTAAGTAAAGACAGGAGCCCCATTTACACTATCCTCTGAACAGGGGAGGACCTAGGATTCTAGGAGATCAGGGGCCTTCCCCCTGAGGGTGAAGATGAGAGTGTAAGCTTTCTGGTAAATCTCGTTCTAATGTAAAATATGACAGATTACTGGAATAAATAAAATTTCTAGTACACTACATGCTATCACACATAGGAATTCCCCCTCCTTAAGATGGGATTAAATTAATTTACCTGGAAGTATTTAACTGTATTTATTCCTCTTTTCTTCATTTTGGTAGCATTTGTTCCTTATTTGCAAGAGTCATGATGGAGGAACCATATATTTTAGCTGACTGAAATAATCCGTTCCCCCTCCATAACATGGGATTAAATTAATTTAGCTGCAAGTCTTTAACTGTGTTTATTCTTCTCTTCATCAACATCAAACTCTGTGGATTTGGGGACATCTGATCATTATTTGCCAAAGTTAAGAGAGGGAAATCAAATATTTTAGCCACCTGATATAATCTGTTCCTCCCATAAACATGGAGGAAAAGCTGTCATTATTTTTGCATATTATGTTTGAAATATTTATTATTTTGAAATCCAAAATAGTCAAAATAAATATGACTGTTGGTTTGAGGATCTTTATGAAATGTATTTTAAATTCTCAATTCAAAATGTCTGCAGTAGCATTGCTCCAGATATTTTGAATTGAGAAATCTTTCTGGATGGAAAGCGAAACATCTTCAAACTTGGAAAACAAAGTCCTGTGGTTTGGTTTGAACTTTTTTTGGAATATATGTAAATTGTTTGATAAACATTTAAGCAGAAAATACTTTTAATAAAGATCAACAAAGGGGGAACGGATTATATCAGGTGGCTAAAATATATGGTTCCCATCCTTTAATAATAAATAATGATCAAATGTCACCAAATCCACAGGGTTTGTTGTAGATGAAGAGAGGAATAAACACAGTTAAAGACTTGCAGGTAAATTAATTTTAATGTTATGGAGGGGAAACTTATTATTTAAGGCAGCTAAAATATCCATTCTCTCCTCACCTCCTCTTTGGGAAATAAAGAGTAAATGTTTACAAATTCTGAAAAAAATGCTATGTGTGATATCATTTTGTATACTAGAAATGACCTTAATCCAGTAATCTGTCATATTTTACATTAGAATTTGAATTTCTGGAATTACCAGAAAGTCTATATTCTCTTTTTTTAGGAACTTTTTTAAGGTCTTAATTTTTGTGTCCTGCTATCAGCCAGTTTCCATCCTTTTAAATCACAAATGAAAAATGATAAATACTCACTACGTGTTGAAAATCTGTGTTTGGTGACTGACTTTTATTTCTGTCAGGTTTAAGTGACAGAAGTCGGAAAAAGACAAATTCCCTTGGCGTTTAAAAACAAAACACAAAACAGCTTCAAAAGGACCTCATTTATTTTTTTATTTATTTTACAATTTTTTAAACAGCAGCTGCCGATTAAACTGGATTTTGCAACAGTGACATGATTATAAGAGCTATTTTTAGCGAGACATTGATCAAACACGCAGTGAAAATGGTCAGATCCACCTCTCTGGCTTCAATGCGTGCTCCCGACACAAAGGAAACAGAATTTCTTATAACACAAGGACAAAGAATGTCTGGAGGTCAGTCAGAGCTTCACATCCCTGGGACATCAGTCTGTTTAGCAACAGCTAGTGGCGACAACTTCTGCTTTCCTGGGCATGCTGCCACCATCTGGTGAATTCCAGTACTGCAGATTTTACTCAGATCAGCTCAGTAATGAGATCCGGGGCTCTTGAGGAAACATCCAGGGCTGTACAGTAGCCCAAGTAGCCGTCCCCTAGATCCGCCACTGTCCCTGAAAACCGATCCGTCCCGAGTTTGGACCGAGCTTGGATCAGTTAACTTCGCCGAGCTCGGATCCTTACGACCATTTACACATCACACTAGCACGGTTTCTCGCCTCCTAGTGGCGATCTACTGTATGGTACTACTGCTCTCTAGAGCGAAACAAGCATATCAACATTGCCAAAGTGGAAAGAAGAATGTCTTTGTTCTTTTCTTTTTTGGATTAATGAAGATTGATTGATCTGTTTGTAATACATAATTCATAGTAAATCAGGAAACCATTCCTTTATTGTAAATTTTGTCAGCCTGCTATTTTCACAACTTTTGTGAGACAATTTTTTATAAAGTAGGGCATTAATTTGTAAAAAGATTAATTAGAATTCTATAAACCAAAGTTTTCTGCCCAGCAGCAACATTGAACTGCACCGCAGCATTTTATCTCCAGCAATTG